ACTCTCTTCACCAGGGCAAGAAAATGTAATCAGAGCCCTCCTGACAAAGAGCCATCCAGTCATAAATATATAGATAGATATGATTCTCTCTCACACACACAGATATAGTATCACAGATTTGAAAGAGACCATTAAAGAAGGACTATGATATGTTGCATGTTCCAGAGGAGGCAAACCAGACACTCTCCACATCAACACTGACAAAGAAACAACAAGAAATACTGTTTACCCACAAGCAGAAAGACATCACATATGTTAGAAACCAACACTTTCTCATTACTTTATTTTCCAGATCACCAGACTGGGCCACAGCAATGGGGACAGCTAGTAATATATAATGATATACTGTTTTATTATTGTATATTTTACGTTGTAATGTTTTTGATTGTGAGCTGTTTTGAATCTCCGTATGGAGGGATAAAACAGGATATAAATAAAAAAACTAAATAATTTCCTTCCTTTGCAATGCCAGGGAGCACAGCCTTGTTTGCAACGTAATGCCAATCTTTAATGAGCAGGACCTGTTGTTGTTGTTGTTGTTGTTGTTGTTGTTGTATTTCTTGTATTTGTGAAGAGAGATCATCTGCTCTTCTTTCCTTTGCCCATTGCAGTGTTCCCCGTGATTTTCTTCCGAAATATCAAGAACCCCATTTTTGTGGTGCTCATCTTTGCCCTGGTCAACCTCTCCGGGATGATTGCTGGCTTGGCCACCTTCATGGCCAAATTCCTCGAGCAGCAGTTCACCTTGACGGCTTCTCTGGCCAACATGATCATAGGTATGGGCCTAGGCAGCTTTTGATTGATTGATTGATTGATTGATTGATTGATTGATTTTATTTAGAGTATTTATATTCCACCCTTCTCACCCTGCAGGGGACTCAGGGTGGATCACAATGCACATATATACATGGCAAACATTCAATGCCATTTAGACATACAACATATATAGACAGACACACAGAAGCTATTTAACTTCCTGGAATACTGTGTCCAATTCTGGGCACCACAGTTCAAGAGAGATATTGACAAGCTGGAATGTGTCCAGAGGAGGGCGACTGAAATGATCAAGGGTCTGGAGAACAAGCCCTATGAGGAGCGGCTTAAGGAGCTGGGCATGTTTAGCCTGAAGAAGAGAAGGCTGAGAGGAGACATGATAACCATGTATAAATATGTGAGAGGAAGCCACAGGGAGGAGGAGGGAGCAAGCTTGTTTACTGCTTCCTTGCAGACTAGGACACAATGGAGCCATGGCTTCAAACTACAAGAGAGGAGATTCCACCTGAACATGAGGAAGAACTTCCTGACTGTGAGAGCCGTTCAGCAGTGGAACTCTCTGCCCCGGAGTGTGGTGGAGGCTCCTTCTTTGGAAGCTTTTAAACAGGGGCTGGATGGCCATCTGTTGGGGATGCTTTGAATGTGATTTTCCTGCTTCTTGGCAGAATGGGGTTGGACTGGATGGTCCACCAGGTCTCTTCCAACTCTTTGATTCTATGATTCTATGACTCCCAGCTTCTTGAGGGCAAGATTGAATTCTGACCACCGCGGGAGCTGTTGCTTCACTGTCTACATGTGACACCGATGGAGTACTTCCTCATTCTTTTGCACGCTGCTGGAAAGATTTTTTATGGCATTGTAAATGAGTTAAATTAGACTCCCTGCATAAGCAGTACCTAAATTTCCTACTTGACAGATACAACTGTCTTTCGGGCTGCAAAGGTTGACAGCAAGCTAGACAATTGTTCGGGAGCTTACTCCGATCCAGGCTGGCATCAAACTCATGACCTTTGGTCAGTAGTGATTTTAATGCAGCTGACTCACAACCAGCTGTGCCACACATTGTTCATAGAATCATAGAATCATAGAATCAAAGAGTTGGAAGCGACCTCATGGGCCATCCAGTCCAACCCCATTCTGCCAAGAAGCAGGGATATTGCATTCAAATCACCCCTGACAGATGGCCATCCAGCCTCTGTTTAAAAGCTTCCAAAGAAGGAGCCTCCACCACACTCCGGGCAGAGAGTTCCACTGCTGAACGGCTCTCACAGTCAGGAAGTTCTTCCTCATGTTCAGGTGGAATCTCTTTTCCTGTAGTTGAATCAAAGAGTTGGAAGAGACCTCATGGGCCATCCAGTCCAACTCACTGCCAAGAAGCAGGAATATTGCATTCAAATCACCCCTGACAGATGGCCATCCAGCCTCTGTTTAAAAGCTTCCAAAGAAGGAGCCTCCACCACACTCCGGGGCAGAGAGTTCCACTGCTGAACGGCTCTCACAGTCAGGAAGTTCTTCCTTGTTCAGATGGAATCTCCTCTCTTGTAGTTTGAAGACATTGTTCCGCGTCCTAGTCTCCAAGGAAGCAGAAAACAAGCTTGCTCCCTCCTCCCTGTGGCTTCCTCTCACATATTTATACATGGCTATCATATCTCCTCTCATCCTCATGTTGTTGTTGTTGTTGTTATTGTTTCTATCACACTCAGTTTGGGACTCAAGACATTGAACCGGAATGTTGGATGGAAACCAGAGGAAGAAGGAGAAATTACTGAAAGCCAGTTTCAAATAGACAGCAATAACCACTGAGTTGTTATGAGTTTTCCGGACTGTCTGGCCATGTTCCAGAAGCATTATGTCCTGATATTTTGCCTGCATCTATGGCAGGCATCCTCAGATGTTGTGAAATTTGTTAGAAACTAGGAAAATTGAGTTTTTATATCTTTGGAATGTCCAAGGTGGGAGAAAGAACTCTTGTCTGTTTGAGATAGGTGTGAATGTTGCAATTGGCCACCTTGATTAGCATTTAATGATTCTATGTTAGGGATTGTGCGAGTTGAAGTCCAAAACACCCGGAGGGCCAAAGTTTGCCCATACCTGATCTGAAGATAGCATATCAAACAAAGCAACAAAGGGTCCAAAACAGAGATCTGTGGAATCTCAATTGGAAGGAGACGATACATGCCATTCAGAGATCACATTCAGTGATGGACCTGAGAGATAAGATGTGAACCAGCCAAGGACTGAATCAATAAAAGCTCTTGGGCATGAAGCTAATCTAACAAAGGATCAACTGGGTTGATGTGAGTTTTTCAGGTTGTATGGCCATGTTCCAGCAGCATTCTCTCCTGACGTTTCACCTGCCTCTGTGGATCATGGCATCCTCAGAGGTTTGTTGGGAAGTGGGACAAGTAGAGTGTGGAGTAATGTCCAGGGTGGGAGAAAGAACCCTTGTCTGTTGAAGCAAGTTTGGG